ATGGTGATCTCTAGTTTTAGCTGTTAGATTGACTGAGATATTAGCCAGGATCTAGGAACTGGACGAAGTCTTATCTGACTAATCTCGATCTTTGATCGTCCCAGGCTTTAAAAAGGGACAAAAACCCTCTTGTGGTAACCACAGAAGAATCAGTTTGACTTATTTAGTGTTTAAAATACTAGTCTCAATAACCATCCAACACTTCATTAGGGATCGTGAAGAGCGAACTCGGAAAAAAGAGTCTGGTTTCACACCTGAATTGAATGTGTGGACCAAGTATTCACCTTTCATCGGTTTCGGAAACATAGACATACTTACTCCCTCTCAACCATAGTTGTATTTTGTTACATCCCGACGAGAATTATGAACGGTAACTTTTGAAAACTATTTATGGACCACTACGATACATATATTCTTATTATATAATTTTTAATTAGCTAAACTATGCATATTCATGTTTCTCTTATTATAAGCTTCATTTTGACCCATAGACTTATTATACAATTTACCGTTCTTGAGTTATGTCCAGTCTATCAATTACCGTCTATTACAGCCACAGCCACTTTTGACTGAATCTTGTACAAATGTATTTTTCTATTTTATGGTACAATATGGTCTGTTTAGTTTGTATGTAAACCCAGTATGCTCGAAATAAATTATTCTTATCGTGGAGGCTGAGATTAGTGTTCTGGACTTAACAGGCAGGGTTGGCAGAAAGAAGGACCGATAAGGACTCTAGACTGTTCGTACGGGTTGTGTGCGACATTGGTCCGGTCGATAATTCACTGTTCTCTAATTGGCAGTATCGTCACGTCATATATTGATAGGGGCATAAGTAATAACATTTTTTTACCTTAAGTCTGCATTTGGTTCCGTTAATCGATAGGCCTGTGGCATTGTCTGTCATCAAAGAGTGCGTACGAAAGAAATACATTAACCTTTCGTAAAGCCATTGTGAATTAAACTGAACCATTGTAATAGGTGTAGATTGCCTGGTTTGGGTTCACTTGATTATTATAACCAGTAACTAGGGACTTTGAGTAACGCAGCTCAGAATCGTTCTCATTGGCACAGGTTCGTTCACTTTTTATCTCCTTTTAAAACCTGAGTCCTGAAATTTTATATCTTTTTTTACTTGTATTGCACCTAATCTTTTCTAATACTACTGATATGGTTGCTAATTTTGCCACTCTGGGATTTGTGGTATGACATCTTTGAACGATGCACATATATGCCTGGTTTTACGTTGGATATGAGTGGCGATAACCTTGTACAGGCTCTCTGTTCAAGGACTACTGGTGAAGTTTGAATAGAATCTGTTTTCAGACTTATGTTTTACTTCATATGTTTAAAATCACCTTTCATTAACTTCAACAAATAATTCTTTTTTCATCTTAACATCCTTACTCTTATTTTCACGTATTCGGTTAGCTCTAGACTGAATAACTCTTCAAAGAACGTGCTAAATATACCAAATATTTAACAAATTATGTAATTCGAAGTGATTTCGTTAACTGGTGTTTGAAAATTCTTAAATGCTTTTTTCCAATCAGTTTTTTCACAAGTTTACTTATAGTGGTAACATTTTCTTTATGACGGTTCAGGTGTTGATATTTTGTCTATAGATTCTTCTATCTACAGATGAATTATGTTGATCCTATTCGATGGAGATGCACCGATTTAGATCATTTGATATTTTACATGCTTCGTAAATGTAAATTTTCTTTGGCTGTTGCCTTTATCGTAACAACCACATAATGTGTACATTCATTGTTGCTTTATAGCTACCTTTTTCTCCAAGCACTGATTTCTAAAGCAATAGTTTTTTGATGTCTAACCCTAAATTATTGTGTACTATAATATAAATAATCAAACAAATTTTCATGTATTCTATTTGTTGGTCTTATTTATTACTTGGGATCTGAGTCTACTATTCCTAAAACATTTAAATCCTGATTCAGTCAATTCTATTTGCATTTCACTTATTATTGTAGAGGTCGGAAAATTCCATATTTTACATCATGGACTGATCTTAGATAATCATTGAAGCCAAAAAAGTACTGGATAGCTATTTTGTTTTAAAACCGGGATTCTCATCAGGGATAAAACCCAGGACCTTCAGGGTTCGTGAGGAGCGCCTAACTTCTCAAACTCCTAGCCAGCGTTCACTGGCTCACTTGTTTAATTTGAATCAACCCACGGTATTTTGCAGCTGTCTTCCAATGTCAGTGGTGGTTAACTACCTCACATCCAACATGCCTGAACTCCACTGGTCACGAATTTTTGCTCTAACTCCTGTAGCTGCCCTTGGAAATTATTCACTAGTGGGCACATGGTAACTATTCGGTATATGGGGTTTGGGGAATTTGTTGAATTTCACAGTTTGATTATATGATATTTTGGCTACTTGTCGAAAACTGAACTGATTTGTTAGTATAGTATATGCTTGTGGTCGAGTGGATGCCTAGTTGATGTATGACTTGATGAGACCGCCAATTAGGAAGCAGCGAATTATCGGTTGGAACAGTGACACGAAACCCGTACGAGCAGACTAGAGTGCTAACCGGTCCTGCGATCTGCCTAACCCAACCAGTTAAGCCCAAACACCAATAACAGCCTTAGTAGTATGAATCGTTGTATTTAAAACATACTGGGTTTTTATACAAACCAAAGTAATCAATAAACTGATTATAACTCAAGAATCGTATGATAATAACTCAAGGTCAAAATAAAGCTAATGGTAAGAGAAATACGAATATGAATAGTTCAGTTACGTAATAATTGTACAATAGGAAATAGGCATATTACATTGATCCATAAATAGACCTAAAAGTTACCATTCGTAATTCACCGGGGGATATAACATCTAGACAGCCAAGTAATAGTTCAATATTGTTTACTTTTATTTAAATGTATACTTGGTTCTGAAATAAAGGTTAAATAACATCGTATATTGCTTTGAAGATATTATTCAACTTTATATTATAGTTGATAATTTACAGTTTATTTATTGTAGACAGCTACATCTATATGATTTTACTTGATCTAAATAGTACTTACTAAACGTAAACCCGACCGCTGCTGCTACCCTGATGTGGTGGTCGGGCTTGGCTATCGTGATTAACCGATCGAGCTGTACTAGTTGGAACAATCATTCTTCGATATCCTACTGTAGTGAATGAGAACACGAGTAGGGACAATCGAATGTACAGATTATCTCACTAAAATCTGATAAAAGGAAGGGTGGGATTAGAAAAGGTCGACTTCAAAAATGTACACTTCGCCTTATCCCACAGATTTCCGTCTCCGTTGGTAAGGTCCCAACAAGTTCGGAGCTAACACAAAAATTACCCACAAAAAGGTCGTGTGTAACCGACCTTGAGCAATACGGTGACGCTCTCAAGTCACTAAGACCAACTATACCTCTAGAAGAACCCTCCCACTGTCTGGGCAACCGGGAAGTGATGATCGTTTTCACACCTCTAACTGCATTCAAGACCTAATAACCGTTTAATTTTAATCCAATATCCAGTTGCCTAGATATAGTTTCCATATTTTTTTTATTTAAACATTTGTCTAAACTTATAAACATTGGTACAAATGGGCACCAAAACATATATGCGTCACACAAAATAATTATCATTCAACTTGTATGTGGGCTGAGATACTATCCGGGTGCGTAAACCGAAGTAGGTGGGTTTTTTTATATGGAGCTACTCTCTGACCCTTTGCCTTAATATCTCATCTATAAGGCAATGAAGTAACGTTGAGAGGTGAGGTTCCATGGTAGTCGGTGACCAAGAATAGGTTCATACTCACTTTGGATTGTGGAGCTCATGTACACCATGGTTTGAAATGAGGTTTTTCCGACTCCTGTGGATGAAATTTCCGTATCCACCAACCTGGTTTAAGCCCCGGACATCCGCTTTTCGCCCTTTCAATTTTGTAAACATCCCCGCCCCCTGAAGACAATAAGAAGGACTTATGCTTGGCCATATGAGGGCACTTCGAAAGGGAGAGCTGACTCTTCACCTTCAGTTGTACCGGGGCATTTGGGTGGCTATTCAACATTATTATATAGTGTTTTATAAACACCAGTTGATTGTACTTATTTTCGACATTTTATTATTTATAAAGTTAATTTATTTAATTATTATGATCACCTACAATCTGCAAATTGTTTTGAATTAAACCAGCATAAAGTTAATGTCTATAGTGTAATGACTGTGAGTAAACTACGGAATAAATAAGTCTAATTTGTTGACAGAAGAATGTTGATTATCAGAAGTGTTTTTTGTGGAGATTCTAGTAATTTTGTAGTTGATTTCATTAGTCAATTAAAGCTAGACCACCATGGAAAACCTGGAAGCACTGAACGGCCGTTTCGATCTATTATTGGACTTCGCATCAGTGCGTATCCACGATCCCGCCTCGCGAGATTCAAACCCAAGACCTACCAGTCTCGCGCACGAGCACGTAACCATTAGACCACTGAGTCGGCATCCAACGGTGTTAATGTCTAATTTCAACCAATCCACAAAATCGAGCAACCGTCCACCACTGTCTTCAGCGAGTTATTATCTCACAACAGACCTGGTTAAACTCCACTTGTTACGGCTTCTCATCAGAACTCCAGGAAATATCTCATAAAGCCAGTCATTAGTGAGCATATGTTTATTATCAGAAGGGGTTTTTTGTGGAGATTTTAGTAATTTTTATAGTTGAAATCATGAGTCAATTGAAGCTAGACCACCAAGGATGATGTTTAAAGCATACTAGTATCTCCAACTACTCGTCTTGTTCTTCAGTAGTATTTTTTAAAGAAGTAATATAACTACAAATAGATTTATTGAAAGGAAAATGCTTTCCCTTTCAACAGAATTTTTTTCAAATTGAGAATTTAATAGATTACAATACTGGTGATTTTCAGGTATTCAGCTCTTTATTTACCAAATCCTAAATATGTCATTAGTGTACTGCAGATGTGTTTCTTTTTTTAGGCGTGATCATGCAAGACGACAAACTCCATATCCTATTAGTTCAAATAATGCTTTACCAGATATACCTTCATTATATCACGATTCTGCGAATTTCCAAATGAAGCCAAAATATGATGGTATGTTTTTGATTAGCACACTTTTTTACGTAATATTCTAATATGGGGTTGTTAAAAATAACTGCTAAAAAACCTTGGACGTAGGTTTCGAGCTGATTGACACTTGTCAATAAGACATACCTATAGTCTTAAGAGAACTGATCCTCGTTGTGAGGTTCAAACCCGTATCACTTAGTTTTACAGTCTGTGACGTTAACACTAAACTACTGAAAATTCAACTGACCTCGTTTACGTTGAGTTGTAGGAATTAACCATCATTTCATTGAATATACCACTGATAAACTAAGTTGCTTCCTAAATAAAATGTAAACGACTCTGAAAGTGTCGTTCTTTTTCGAAGAAATTGTTTTCCTTAGAATGTATAATACATGATTAGTTCATTTTTAGCTAACTAGATTATCTTAGTTTTTTCATCGTGTATCTTTTTTGTTTGCTCCCCTTCCCATCTAACTTAATATAGATCATTCAAACAAAACACCTCAATGTGTTGCCTTGTATGATTTCAACGCTGAAAGTCCTTTTGAACTATCTTTTTGTAAGGGCGATTCGATTAACTTAATTGAACAGGTATGCCTTTCAAATGTTATTTTATTTAATTTATGGTAATTAACTAATTTCCTTTTTTAATAAAATGTCATTTTGTAATACCTCAATATTTATTTGTGCACTTAACATGTGTAAGTATTGATTTTCTTCTAGTGGTGTTCTTGTTATTCTGAAGATTAGATTTGATAGTTCAAGCATTTGACCTCGAATCACTGGTTGCAGATATACAGCTGTTCATTTTCACTGTATGAAGTTTTATGAAATCTTGAAGGTTTATTCATTAAGATAATCTAAGAACTTGTATTTTGTTACTGAGTTAAATGTATTCTTCTGTGTAGTAGTTTTCAAACGTACAACTCTTTTTTATACGTTAATTAAAATGGCTAGTCTAGCTTGTTCGGTTTTTTAAATCTGTACTCTATTCGACTAACATCCTGTGTTCATATACCAATCTGAAGTTAACGAAATTGGTTTAACAACAATGTGTAAGGTATAATATTTATTGATGTCAGTATTTAAGAAATATCTTGCTGATTGGAGAACTTCACCAACCGGATTCTGTGTGAATTCTGATTTAAAGAAGTTCCCTCTTTTATTTTCTTAGAAAGGTTTTCTATAGGGTTCGAAACTCAGTTGATTTTTTCCAGCTAAATTAGATAAGCTAATTATATATTCCTTGCTAAGAATATAATCCGACAAGTAAGTTACTCATTTAAACCTTAAGGCCAAACTACGAAATCTTTCTAAAACCACAGCACTATACATTTGTGTACAGTTAGTCGACTAAAATTATCTGTTTATGTCAATGAAGCAAACAAAATTCAAATTAGTATCATATACAAAATAACGAAAAGTTGAAGAGATCGATTCAATGTATTTCAGTGAAATGAATAAAAGCTGTTTTTAACATAATATTCTAGATTTAAGAATAATCACAAATTGTGTCATATTACAGAATACATAGTATAGTACAAAGCATAAAGTAAACATCGGAGATAATGTTTAGAAATAACACACAGATTGATCAGTAATAGTGCATTTCACTTCATTTCAAAAATTAATTATTCTATTAAATTCTCTGTATCATATAAAATAACTGCTAGACCCAAGACTTGGCGTCGCCTTGTACTTTACTGTTACTTTGTCCTCAACTGTTCTTCATTATGTATGTTCATTTCTTTCTTTTTTCTAAAAAAAATTCAGATTGATGATAACTGGTATTTGGGTGAGCTAAATGGACAAGAAGGTCATTTCCCAACAAATTTCGTTCATGTAACTTGTCCTTTACCATGAAATTCGTTTTTTTTTAAAGCAGTCGATTTTTCAGTTCCTTCATGATAAAGTTTTATTTCCAGTTTAAGCCTCATCTAACCCTCCTCCATGCTATCACTGTTAGCATGCTGTTTTTTTAAAATTTTCTCTCTCTTTGCTTATGATTCGTTAACGAGTACACACTTGAATATACACATACAAGTTACACTAAATGATAGATTATTACAAATGATGTATTTATCTAGTTTCCATTAGAATTAAGACAATAATTTTCAAAGTTTTTACCAACAGAGCAATTATTCTATCCCTTGCTTTGTTCTTACGTCTTCCATCTAATTTCTTTGTGCCTGAAACATCATCATTAATTAAGTGCCATTGTATTTTATAAATAACCTTTTACCTGTTGTTTATTTCGTTATTTATTATGTAAAATTATTCTTCTTTTTATCTAATTTTCTTTTTGTTCTTCGAACATTTTAATTACGGCAAGCCTTTTTTTGTAAATCATGTCCAACGACTATATTCTCTTTTTTTAGGATTGTTTACGTAATGCCAGAATTTTTTTTATTTTTCTCATTGTTCATTTACTTTTTTAGCAAATCATTTAGTTTATACTAATAATGCCCTGAATATATGTATTTAATATTTTCTTTTATTGAAGTCAGCTAATGTTGTTGATTTATTATTATTAACATTTATTATTATTGAGTACACAAACCTCCACCAGTAGCTAATATTATTCAGCTTGTAGATGATTAATGTCTTAATGATAAGGGGAACAACACTATTTATTTCTTCAATGTCTTTGATTCTTCTAATTAATTTAGCCAATATGACACCATGTCCAAAGCCGAAAATATATCATGTGACACAATTAGTTGTTACTCTTAGATAGATAATAAAAATTGTGCATTCATGTTATGCGATACAAAAATAGTGACAACATAACACCTAATAGCTCACTTAATTACACCAGTTACTCTTCATGAAGGAGTATAGGCCGTCCACCAGTATTCTCCATGCAACTCAGTCCTGAATAATCCTTTCCACTTGTTTCCCGTTGCTATTCATCCTTCTCATGTCTGTATCCCACTCCCAAGGTTTTCTGTAAGCTAACTCTAACCAACACCTCACAAATTCGTCAAGTTCCTTCACTATCAGTAGCTCATTAAAGATTATTTATTATATGAAGACCTATTGTCCCTCATGAGGGAGCATCGACAGCTCACAACTATTCACAATTTAACTCTGTCCTCGATAGTCCTTTTCAATTATTATTCATCCTTTCAATCTCTGCTTCCAATTCCCAATGCAGTGTGTTCTATGGTATTCCTCTTCTCAGTCTCCATTCAGAATCTCAAGTTGATGCTCCCATGGTTATGCAGTTTGGTGATTTCCACAATGTGTGTTTTATTCATATCCAACGTCCTTTCTCAATTTCCTCTTCAGATGGAAGCTGGTTTCTTCTGTCCCACAGTAGTGTGTTGCTGATGTTATCCGAGCAACAGACATCCAGTATCTTACGTAGACAATTGTTTAGAAATACTCGTACATGTTTAATCATGATTGCAATCGTTCTCGGAGTTTCGGCTCCATACAATAGAACTGACTGTCTTGTCGTTCGTATTGAGGATTCTGATATTGATGTTGGCTTGCAGACAATTATTTTGAGTTCCATATGTTGTTCAATTGTAGGGATGTTGTTGTTGCTTTGCTAATCCTTGTGCTCACGTCTGCATCGGATCCTCCTTATTCATCTATAATGCTGTGCAGATAGGTAAGTGAAAGTTTACACCTGTTTCAGAGGAGTTTCTCCATCATATGGGAATGGCTTGGAGTTCTCCATGTTGGTTTTCCTTTTGTTTATGTTGAGGCCTCTGCTACAGTGGTTGTCTTCATCTGGATTCGTTGATGTGAATGAGTAAGAAGGGCCAAATGATCTGTGAAGTCCAAATCATCTAGTTGATTCTGTGCTTTCCTTCAGGTGTGGAGGTCTTCATAATCCAGTCAATCACCAGAAGAAAGAGAAAGCAGCTTTGTATGACACCGATCCTCATTTCAGATATGTCTGTTATCTGTCCTCCATACAGGACACTGAAGTGTAGTCCGTCGTATGATATTGACGAATTTCCCAGTTATTCACTTAAGTGTCGAAGAAGTTTCCGTAAATTCCTCCTATCTACATTGTCGAATGCCTTTTCGTAGTCATGGAAGTTGATGTACAGTAATGAGTTCCATTCAGTTAATTGTTCAGCAGTGATTTGCATTGTCCCGATTCGGTCTGTGCACGAACGATTCTTGCGAAATGCTGATGTTGATCTCCAAGTTGGGCGTCTACTGAATCTTTCATCCGGTTGAGCAGCACTCTGTTGAAAGCTTTTTCTGGCACCCATCAGGATGGTCAGGTTGTTTCCTGAGCACTTCTTTATGACCTATTACAGCCTCTCACAAAACTGATCTTTATCGTCGTCGTTGCTACCGTTGATGGGTTCATAACATCATGATTCCCTCTTTCTTTGTTTTGATGATGCTGGATCCGTGATTTACGTTTTTCTTTGGACAGCATCAGAGCACCTCCTAAATTTATCGTATTCTGTCCATCTTGGGTCCAAGGGGTTTCACTTATTCCGAGAAGGTGCATCGACCTGGTAACTTCTGAAGAATTTCAGCTGTCACTATGAGGCATCATAATTCTTCCTTCGACTCCCAATGTAGAGTTTAATTGGTTGAATTTGTTCATTCAGCTTAGCGTTTTTATAGCATGGTTATTTCCCACGGGATTAGGTCGCTAACCCCATATTCAACCCATTTATTTTCTTTTCTTGGGATGTGCAGTAACCCTAGAAGCTCTACAGGCGAAGGTACCATCTCATAAACCGAAAATTTAATCATGGATATTTGACAATCGCCTTCTAGGATGATTCTAAACACTAGTCTTTTGGAAAGAATCTGGATAGTAGCAATTACTTATGTTTTACTAAGCTGCTTTCCATTGTTTCTTTTATTAATCTTGGCTCTTAGATACTTTTTCTGATCATTATTATATGGTACAACATGTATGAAATTTTCTCCCATATATCACTACTAAACAGTTGCATACATATTCTCAAATGTTTGAAAATGTCCACGACAATGTCTGACCAGTACTTTATGATGGGGCTATAAATTTTCTTGTATTTGACGTGAAACATAATATACATCAGTGGTTAAAGGTTTGACTTCAAATAGTTTTCCAAACTGACGAGAACAGTGCAGATGTATCCACTGTTTATCTCCTGTATCTTATTTGTGAAATTATTAATAGGCATGCGTTAAACGATTATGGTTTGGGGTTTCCGGTTGGTTTGTGATAAATTATATTTACGGAACGATCGGAATTCATCTAATATGAATGGATGGTTTAAAAGACCAGACGTCTGACACAACAACATTTCAGCGTTAATAACACATACTGTTATATCCTAGTGAAGACATAAGCACGAGTAACTTCCGGGACCTATTATTGGACGATTGTTCTATATATATTCTTACTGTTTAACTATTGAATAATTAGATTGTGTATGTCTATATTCATCTTATTATAAGTTTCATTTTGACCTATACGATTTACCGTCCCTAAATTATATTCAGTTTATTGATTATTGTCTCCCACGTTCATAGCCACATTTGGCATGATATTGTACAAATATTTTTTTATTTTATGGTGTGATATGATCTCTCTCTCTGGTATATAAACCGAGTATGCTTGAAATAAATTGTTCGCATAGCAGAAGCTGTGATTAGTGTTCTGGACTCAATTGGAAGGGCTAGGCGGACAATGGACCAATAAGGACGCTAGACTGTTCATACCGATCGAACGTCATTGTTTTTGGCACAGTGCTAAGATTAGACAAAATCGTCTAATCGATGCTGAGATGTTCATTGTACTCCGTGCTTCCCCTCAGATGTCGAGGTCTTCATGATCCAGTCAATCACCAGAAGAAAGAGGAATGGGGAGAGTAGACAGCCTTATCTGACTCCGTTTTTTACTGGAAATGCATCTGTCAGTTGTCCTCCATGCACGACTTTGCGCTGTAGTCCATTGTATGAGTACCGGATAATGTTGACGATCGTCTGAGGAACTCCATAGTGTCGAATAAGTTTCCATAATGTTCTCCTGTCAAACGCCTTCTCATAGTCAATGGAGTTTATGTATAGTGACGAGTTACACTCAGCTGATTGTTCTACGATGATCCGTAGTGTCGCAGTTTGGTCTGTGCTTGACCGATCTTTATGGAATCCAGCCTGTTGATCTCGAAGTTGGGCGTCTACTGCGTTTTACATCTGGTTCAGCAACACTCTGTTGAAAACTTTTCCTGGTACTGACAACAGTGTGATACCTCTGTAATTCACACATTTGCTCAGATCTCCTTTCTTTGATATCTTGATGAGGTATCCTTCTTTCCAGTCCATTGGCACTTGTTCTTCCTCCCAAACCTTCTTGAATAGAAGGGGAAGTATGTTTGCAGTTATTTCAATGTCTGACTTCAGTGCTTCAGCTGGTATATTGTCAGGTCCTGCCGCTTTCCCACTTTTGATTTATCTGATGGCCATCTTGACTTCTTCGAGCGTTGGTGGAGTGACATCTATAGGAAGGTCTGTGTGTGCTGCTTTGATGTCCAGTGGATTCAATGGGGCTGGTCTATGCAGCAGTTCCTCGAAGTATTCTGCCCATCTTTTCCTCTGTTCTTGAGTCTCAGTGATTGTCTTTCCTTCTTTGTCTTTGACTGGTCTCTCTGGTTTGCTTTATCTCCCTGCCAATTTCTTCGTTGTATCATATAGTTGTTTCATATTTCCTTCTCTTGCAGCTTTTTCCTCCGTCGTTGCTAGTTCTCCCATGTATTTCTGCTTGTCGGCTTTAATGCTTTTCTTCACTTCCCTGTTTGCTTCTGCGTAGTCTGCTTGTGCTTTGGCTTTCTCTGCTCGTGTTCGGCTGTTGTTAATTGCTAGTTTCTTGTTCTTCCTTTCATCAATCTTGTTCAGGGTTCCCATAGAGATCCATTCCTTATGATGATGTTTCTTAGGACCAAGAACCTCCTGACACGTTGAAGTTAGTGATTCTTTTATCTCTTTCCCTCCAAAGTAGTTTCTTGTTCATTCATCCTGTAGAGCTTGGAACCTGTTGTTGAGAGTCATCTTGAATTCATTGAGCTTGTCAATATCTCGAAGGAAGGCTGTATTGAACCTTTTTAGTGCTGTTTGTCCAGTTGTCCAGTCTTTCTTTAGCTTCAGTCTCATCTTGGCCACAACCAGGTGGTGATCTGAAGCTATGTCAGCTCCTCTCCGGGTTCTCACATCTTCCATTGATCTTCGGAATTTTTTGTTGATACAGATGTGATCTATCTGGTTCTCTGTGGTTTGGTCCGGTGAGGTCCATGTAGCTTTGTGTATGCCCTTGTGTGGGAATATTGTGCCGCCTATAACCGGCTTATTAAATGCACATAGATTTGCGAATCTTTCCCATTTTCATTTCTCTGTCCTAGTCCATGTCGTCCGATTATATTTTCATATCCGGTTTTGTTCACTCCGACTTTAGCGTTTAGACCTCCCATCAGGATTGTGAGGTCCTTTCTTGAGGACTTAGCTATTATTAATTGCAGTCTCGAGTAGAACTGATCTTAATCATCGTCGTTCCTATCATTGGTGGGTGCATAACATTTGATAACATTCATTGTGATCCCCTCCTTTGTTTTGAATGATGCTTTGATAATTGTGGATCGGTGAGATTCCCATCGTATAAATGCATTTCGTGCTTCTTTGGACAGCATCAGAGCAACTGTTTGAGTGTGTGGAGCATTTTCCTCTTCGTGACTGGTGTATAGCAGCTCTCTCG